GAAAATATGGATCGACATTAAGGTTTCTCAACCTTGGTGCTACTGATATTTTGGACCAGATGATTCTTTTAGATTACTGTGGGGGCCTGTCCTGTGTATGGATGCATCACTGGCCTCAACCCACTACATGCTAATAACAACAACAATAAAAAATTGTTGTTGTTATTAGCATTACCAAGTCATAACAATCAAAAAAGTCCCCTAACACTCCCAAATGTGTCCTTGGGGAGCAAAATCACTCACAATTGTGAAACACTGATTTATAAAAACGAACAAAGAATACCAAAATAGTCATTATGCAATAAGCATTTTAGTAATTATATACAATTATTTTCTTATTATTTAAATATCTTTCAAAAATAATTGGCTGCTTAAAGAAAACAAAATATGGGATTTATAACATATGTAACAATTAAAATATATGGCAACAATAGCATAAAAACTGCAGTGTAGGGGAATGGAAATATACTATTCTAGGTGAAATGGAATATCACTTGAAAGTTAATGGTGATTAAAACAAATATGAATCCCTAAAGCAACAAATAAAAAAGCAAAGAGTAATCGCTAACAAGCCAATGAAGGAGATAAAATAGAATCATAAGAATATTCAATCCAAAAGAAGGTAAGAATAGAAGGGAAAAAAAAGACAATACAAATAGAAAACAAACAGCAAAGTAAAAAGGCTTATCCATATCAAAAGTCACATTATATTTAAATGTAACACATTACATGTAAGATCATATTGAATACACATGGTCTAAACACCCCAACAGCACAGATTTCCAGATTGGATTAAAAAAAAAGCAAAACCCAACTACATGTTGCTTGTAAGTAACTCACTTTAAAGATATAAATAAATTAAAAGCCAAAAGATATCAAAATATATGCCATATATCAAAGTAAATTTCAAGGCAAACAATATTACCAGACACTAAAAAGGCCACTTCTTAATGATAAAGGAGTCAACTGATTAAAGAACATACAGTCCTAAACGTTTATGTACCTAATAACAGAGCTTCAAAATTTATGACGCGAAAATGGATAAAACAGCAATGAGAAACAGACAAACCCACAACAGTCTGAGATTTCAATACCCCCTTCACAATAATGATAAAACTAAAAAAATACAAAAATTAGCTGGGTGTGGTGGCATGCGCCTGTAGTCCCAGCTACTTGGGAGGCTGAGGCAGGAGAATTGCTTGACCCCGGGAGGCAGAGGTTGCAGTGAGCTGAGATCACGCCACTGCACTCCAGCCTGATGCCTGGT